AAATTCAAATTCTAAATTCCTTAGCCACAGTTCTATCTATACAGCTTCAGCCATCTTTGTATCTACACTGCAACTGGCTCAGTACACAAATGGTTAAACAAATGTTTTAAAATAAATAGAATTGATGAATAAATGTCTCTGAGAAAAGTTCATAAACAGAAATCATGGAGTAATTTTTCTATATAACATGAGAGAGAACCAAGGGAGAAACTTAAGTGTACAGTGCACCAAAATTTTAATACTTAACACTCATTATCATATGGCATAGTAATTAAGTATGTGATCCTGAACTTACAACTATAATTACAATATTCCACTTTCTACTGATGAACATTATTGAGTACATAAGCTTATTATACATCATTCTCTCAAACATCCCAAGAATCTACTAAACTCACTGATGTACAGTGCTTTTGGTGGAAGATATTACTTGCCCTTGTTTTTACTCGGACTAAGATCACCCACGGATGTATAAATGGCATGCACTTAATTACAGTAATGAAATTGCATCCATCAGTTCAAAGACATTGTTAACTCATGTCCATTTCCATTCTTGCCACATATTCTCAGCCCTCTGCATGATTTATTTGATACCAACACTGAAGAGTTTAAAAACCAGTAATGGAAACTCATGGGAATATGAGGTGTGTGCCACGTATGTCAATATGCTTAAGCTTAAAGTAGGGTCCATGAGAAGACTCACAAGTAGCACGATAATTATAATAAAAGCTGCCAGGTCATTATGCTTTACAGGTACTAGCCTGTTTACTTGTCACAATTGTTATGAGGTAGGTATTGTTGTTTTTATCCATTTGGCAGACAAGGAAATTGAAGTAAAGAAAGATTAATTCAATAAGTCTTACTGAGGGCCTTCTCTGTGACATGCACTGTGCTATTTGGTGGTTAAGAAATTTGGTGAAACCCACACAGTGAGACTCATTCAATTACCCTCAAACCCAGGTCTGTGGGATTCCAAAGCTCAGCTGATAATTACCAGCTGGTAATGACTAAGCTGTGATGCTGTGTAACTATCCAGAATGCCCCTGCAAGACGAAGAACCCAACATAGGAAACACACCTAGTCATGAGTATCCTTTATCCCACTAGTCTGAGTGATATTTCTTCCCAACTTATCATCCTGTGTCATTCTGGGACAATTACATAAGGAATCAAGTTTTAAAAATGAGGTTGGCTTCACACGGATGATAAAACAGATGGGATGCAGCTTACATTTATACTCGTTTTACACGGATCAGACAAACATTGATTAAATAATGCTGACTTGTCTTTGTGCAACACAGCCCTCATCCATCTGTATCTATCTGTCGGACTGAACGTTAAGCAATACACAGCAGAGGTCATTATTTTTGGAACTTGTCAGAATGCTGAGAGAGTAAACTCAGTAAAGAAGAGGAACTACTGAGAGTAGGTGAGGTTATAGCAAGATCTTTTATATTTTGGGAAAAAAAAACTGGTTAAGGAAAATCAAATTTCAATTTTCTGTGTTAATAATGCAACAATATCATGAAGGAACAAGACCCTAATTCTCAAAACCCACTTTTTAGGCTTTTCTTAGTGCTGTGATGACAAGTTGCTCTGCCTCTTTGCTCTCTGGCTTTCTCTTGCTGCTATCCTCTTATGGAAGAATGAATGGCTATTATGGAGAAAGAGAAAGAGACCTTGAGTGCTGCAGAGGTTGATTTCCACTTCAATCTCATAATTTTGGCCAGTCCACCTTGACCACATGTCTTCCTAAAGTTAAGCGGAGGTCACCCCAATATTATTCAAAACAATTTGAAATAAGCATCCGTGTTCCTAATGGACTTCATTTCTTCCTTTGGCCTGCTGTTAGCATTTGGTTTTCCTCAGCTTGACTCTCGTTCTTTACTTTTCCCATCCTTCTGGCTCTGTCCACCAAACGACCTTTCCAGTAATCAAGCTGAAGTTCTACCTGCCTGAGCTGGGACCCTGGCCAGGTGTTCTTCAGTCTCCCTTGAGGGAATTTTGCAACTCAGAAATAAAAGAAGCTAGATTTATGCAACTAAAAGTTGGTTAATAATAGATTATACATTTATAAGCTATATAAAATTTATACATTATCACAGAATTTATAAACAAGAATGTTACTTATCATATTTACTTTTGTTTCTCCAGCCAGTCAAAAAGCCCCTTGAAAGACAGATCCTGAATGGACCCCACGTAGCATCTAAAACTTTTCCAAGATGTGAAACCATCCTACATTGCTTCCCTGCCTGTGCACTTGGCTCTTGGCTCCTAAGCCCCTTGAAAGACAGATCCTGAATGGACCCCACGTAGCATCTAAAACTTTTCCAAGATGCGAAACCATCCTACATTGCTTCCCTGCCTGTGCACT